CACAATCCCAACTATGTTGGCACCAAGGAGGAAGCACAATCATCTGCTAGCACTAAACCCACAGATTGGCGAGAAACCAATCCAAAAAAAAGAAACAAAAAGAAAAAACTTCAGCAAGCACTAGCAAACCAAACCAATCCTGCTGCCCTATGTATCCAGCAGCAGACTAGACCTTATACCAGCACAAACCTAAATCCATTGGCAGCACAACAACAGGGCTCTGCAAATCCAGTGGCAGTTCAAAACAGATTGTAAGGGTTCAACTCCACCTTAGGACAGCAGCATTTGACCAGCGGCAGACCAAACCTTAAACCAGCACAAACCTAAATCCAGAGGCAACACAGCAACAATATAGCAGCATCCAAAACCTTGTTGTCTGCTGATCATTAAATCATATTTTTAAAAATCTTCAATCTAGCTCATCATTCTTGGTCCCAGCCAACTACCCATTTGCTTGCACCAGATCAGGTCAACATACAACATCTCCTTCTCCTTGATTCTGAACTCTGGGGGACTGATAATGAGATTGTAGCAGCTGCTGCCCGAAATATAGCTCTATTTTGCAGACCATTGCTGAACAGCACACCTTTGTTCTTCAGTTGCTTATGGTTTGACTTTCCCCTGTTCTTCATATCAGTGCTTTTTCTCAAACTACGATTGATGGCTTTTTCACTGGTCCTTCCCCTTCTTGCTGAAATGCCCCTATTGTTCACATCCAGCTCGGCTGATGTAGTAACCAGTGGACTTGGCTGAGTGTGTTCTGCACAATCACTAAGGTTCTGCACAAAATTGAGCACAATACATAGCCTAATCTCTCCAAACAAACACAACACAAGATTCGTTGCACTTGTGTTGTGTTTGTTTGGAGAGATTAGGCCATGTATTGTGCTCAATTTTAAATTCAACGTTTAGGTATAAAAGTAGACCTCTGGATGGATTTACATTTTCTTGGGACTGCTACATATGCCCCCCGTATGGGGACTATACTGAGTCCTCAGGATCCAAATAGAAGTGTTGTTTTTTTTTTTTTTTTTTTTTTTTTTTGGGGGGGGGGCAAATAAAAGGTTGGAAGACCATTAAAAAATTATAGTTATTTCAAATATGGAACGACAGAAATTTACTAATTTTCCTTCCTAATTCATAGACTTTGGATCTTGAGTTGGAAAGAGATTTATAGAGGGAAATGTAAATAAAATCAACTAAATTTTTTGTTACTTTTCTTCCCTTTTTTCTTTCATTTTCCCCCTACAAATCCCTCATGAGTTGGCAAGAGATTTATAGAGGGAAATGTAAATAAAATCAACTAAATTTTTTGTTACTTTTCTTCCCTTTTTTCTTTCATTTTCCCCCTACAAATCCCTCATGAGTTGGCAAGAGATTTATAGAGGGAAATGTAAATAAAATCAACTAAATTTTTTGTTACTTTTCTTCCCTTTTTTCTTTCATTTTCCCCCTACAAATCCCTCATGAGTTGGCAAGAGATTTATAGAGGGAAATGTAAATAAAATCAACTAAATTTTTTGTTACTTTTCTTCCCTTTTTTCTTTCATTTTCCCCCTACAAATCCCTCATGAGTTGGCAAGAGATTTATAGAGGGAAATGTAAATAAAATCAACTAAATTTTTTGTTACTTTTCTTCCCTTTTTTCTTTCATTTTCCCCCTACAAATCCCTCATGAGTTGGCAAGAGATTTATAGAGGGAAATGTAAATAAAATCAACTAAATTTTTTGTTACTTTTCTTCCCTTTTTTCTTTCATTTTCCCCCTACAAATCCCTCATGAGTTGGCAAGAGATTTATAGAGGGAAATGTAAATAAAATCAACTAAATTTTTTGTTACTTTTCTTCCCTTTTTTCTTTCATTTTCCCCCTACAAATCCCTCATGAGTTGGCAAGAGATTTATAGAGGGAAATGTAAATAAAATCAACTAAATTTTTTGTTACTTTTCTTCCCTTTTTTCTTTCATTTTCCCCCTACAAATCCCTCATGAGTTGGCAAGAGATTTATAGAGGGAAATGTAAATAAAATCAACTAAATTTTTTGTTACTTTTCTTCCCTTTTTTCTTTCATTTTCCCCCTACAAATCCCTCATGAGTTGGCAAGAGATTTATAGAGGGAAATGTAAATAAAATCAACTAAATTTTTTGTTACTTTTCTTCCCTTTTTTCTTTCATTTTCCCCCTACAAATCCCTCATGAGTTGGCAAGAGATTTATAGAGGGAAATGTAAATAAAATCAACTAAATTTTTTGTTACTTTTCTTCCCTTTTTTCTTTCATTTTCCCCCTACAAATCCCTCATGAGTTGGCAAGAGATTTATAGAGGGAAATGTAAATAAAATCAACTAAATTTTTTGTTACTTTTCTTCCCTTTTTTCTTTCATTTTCCCCCTACAAATCCCTCATGAGTTGGCAAGAGATTATTGTGATACTTAAAGAGAAGCATGTAGGCCAACCTCACACCACCGCACTTTTAAGCTGAGATGGCATTTGAGTCAATCACTTACTGACAAATGACCCATAATGGCCACTCCATGTGTCAAATAATCGTTGCTGACCCATCCACCAATTGCAAGACCCCTTTGCCGTATCTATATATATGTTATACAAAGATGACATTTCAACAAAGGTCTTTATTTATAAGAAATGGATATCATCTTAGTTCAACAAAATTCTATGTCCAAACCACAGTTGTCAAATCTAAATTCGTATCGTGAATTGAAATGGCCTCATACCGAATCGAATCGAATCGTGAATCGTAAAGATTCGGTCACTTTTTTTAAATTACTTAAAAATATATATCTACACATTTAGATGTTAAATATATCTTATGAATATAAAATATTTAGACTTAAATCTCTAAAAATGTTATTTTAAATGATAATCACGTAGTTTAATAGGTAAGAAGTTAACAAAGATTCTTTTGTAAAATCACCATCTTACCTTTTTCTTTTTTAGATATTTCTTATCAATCATTCTTAATAAAGATTATTAAAAATTGAGTCAGATTTGACCCGACCCATAACCTATGGAGCGTCCACATGAGTTGTAGATAATTCACACTATTTAATAAATAAGATAATTAAGGAATTATCTAATGAAGTATTTGAGTTGTTGTGGGAGCCTACAACTCCACTTCTATCTGCAGAGATATATATCATATATCTGATATAGAGAAGATATACGTATTATTGTTGTGAGATTTTACCCGAAAAATCTCTGCAGAATTTTTCTCTTTGTTCTTCCCTCTTAGTTCACCATTGTAAAATCTAGGGATTCTTAGGTCACCATTGTAAAACCTAGGGATTTGGAGTGTGGATACAACATTGAGAAACTCTGGTAGCTTCTCAATTGACAGAAGATTTTTCAGACGAGACTTGTAATTCAAGCATCCGATCCAAACCGTTTCCGCTTCAAGTAATATAATTACCCACATATTTTCTTTCAAAGATAATAACCAAATAGACAAACTATCAATTTCTAAAGTAACAATAAATAACAACGATATTGAAATTTGGACAATAAGCATACATACTTTTCTAAGTAACAGTGAGCAAATAATAAGAAAGAATTATTTATAATCTTTTATTTTAAAGCCTAAAACATTTTAAAAGTTATAATTGATCTCACACATATAATATTCAATTATATTCAATTTAATAAAATAGCAATAGATAATTCATAATGTAACTTTAATCTTAAACATCTTTAGAAGATATTGATTTTTTAAAGGGAAAAAAAATGAGAAGAAATGTTAAAAATATGTTGGGTCTGACTGAGGTCTTGTTTGTCATAACATAAAAAGCTAAAAAGTCAAAAAGTTACTATCCTATTTAAGTCACATCATCTTATTTAAGTCACATCACCTCTCTATCACATCATTTCAAACCCATAAAAAGTCAAAAAGTACACTTATTTAGATCATCCCAAACAACCCCTGCATCTGATTGAATTCTATTAAAAACTCCATGATCATCAAAATAACAACAAATCATGTATATATGTTGATTATTTTGGTATTAAATGCTATTAAAAGTTGTGTTATGTCATTTTCACTAAAAAGATGAAAAAAAAAGTCAAAAATATACCGGACACAATAATTTGAAAAATTGCATGAATTGTAAAAAGTGAATCGAATCGTGAATCGATTGTGAATCGTGCGATTCACTTCCAAAATAGATTCGTATTGATTTTGCAAAAATTACGAATCATAAGATTTTGATAACAGAGATCCAAACTCCAAAGCATGACTTTATACCACCAACCAAGCATTAAATATGTTGGAACATTTAAAGAAAAAATATAGATCTTAGGATTACTCCAAAGCTAATTTTTTAGTACATAACTTTTAGATAATTCTCACTTTATGGTGTGGTGTGAACCCTTTTGTCAAATTACTCTTTTAAATTCATTTCTAGTGCCCTGAGAGATGCCCTTTTGGACTTCAAAGAGAATAAAGGGAGCATAGCATATAGATGAAGTTATAAATACCTTCAGATGTCTCGTGGAATGGTCCACTCATGTTATTAGTAGGATGTTGTCCTCAATTTGAACTTTAGTTCATTGTTGCCTTCTGAAAAACAAGATGGCATACACATCCAGGGGCCTCTGCAGTTTTCAACTGCCCATGTCTGTCATTAATCATTTCCATCCAATTCGTAAGTTGGCAACTTGGCAAACGAATTCTCATAGTTTCCATAATGTAGTTGATGTTCCAAAGCTCGTTTGTATTAGCCCTGCAATGACATTGTGGCATATGGCCATGAAAAAAAATACTAACAAAAAAGAGAGAGGCTAGAATAAGATAGGAATACAAGTGCAACCATACAAAAGGCTAGATTAACATGGGGTGTTGCATAGCACAATAATAAAAATGAGCAAAAAAATTGACAGGGTTCTAATTTCACTAAAGGATAAAGCACATGCACAACACAACAGAATCAGAAGGAAAAACTGTAGTCACCTGCAAACATCATGGCAGTTTTATCAATAATCTATAGCAATGGTGCCAAATCCCAGGTTTTAGGATCTAATATCAAATACCTTCACCGTATTCCTACAATGAATCACCTAGAGTTGTAAAATGGGATACAAATCTTCTTACAGGTAGCAATGCAGATGCGCATCAAGGAGTTACAATGCCTATTTAAATCAGTTCAAATTCTGAAACAACATTTCTATATCATTGAAATAAAATGCATGTCGCTCTATTAATAGTGAGCTGAGTCTACTATAAACTAGCCAATGCTTCCGCATCAAACGGCCATTTGTTTGCTTGAAATATGATTAATTAAATATATAGCTTATTTATTTTTATTAGGGTAACCTCCTGATCAGTTTAACTATAATGCATTGCCTTTGCCGATATATGAAAAGAAATTAACTGGTAGGATCACCATCAAGGCTTTTTGGTGTGAAGCAAAGTCCCACATCACCCGAGTACTAAAATAATGTTAAGCATATAAGCGTGAGGGCGTCTTTGAGAAAAGGCCCAGGTGCCACCCTGAGGATGACTCTTAGTTTGGTATTGGATCCAATGGGGCTTATAGTCTTGAGAACTATGTGGCATATTATTTGTTATTTTCTTGGTACCCAGAAAATTATTAGTATTCATGTTGTAATCTGTTTTAAGTGAAAAATGCCATTTATCATGTTCTTGAGAGACATGAGTGTTTTAACTATTAAACTGTGGAACCTTCTTTTTGAAACAGATTATCCTTATCAAACTGTATGCCAATCTAGTTTCTGTGATATATATCTTATTTTGGAATTGAACCCTGTTTTCAAAACTGTATATACTATCCATGTTGCTACTCACTAAGCTATCAGCTGACTTAGTTGTTTACCATTTTCAGATGTTAGAAGGACTTAGATTGGACTTATGGCGTAGCGGGGCCTCGTTTGCATGGACCTATAGGTCCAGCTTGACTCTGTTGTAGTGGAGGGTAGGTGTGTGGAGGATCCGGATCAGGTGAAGCAAGAAGTGGTTAGGCATTTCAGTCAGCTGTTCTCAGAGAATTGGAAAATTAGGCCAAAAATTCTGGACCCTTTTGCTGTTATTAACTCTGTGGATGCTGTTACTCTGGAAGCTGTTTTCTCTAAAGAGGAGGTATGGGAAGCAGTGCAAGACTGTGATGGGAACAAAGCCCCAGGTCCAGATGGTTTTAACCTTAATTGTATTCAGAGGTGTTGGCCTATATTGAAAGGGGAGATCTTAAGTATGGTGAATGAATTTCACCAAAATGGCAAGCCATCTAGAGGGGTTAACAGCTCTTTCATAGTTCCTATTCCTAAGAAGGAAAATCCCATAGGCTTGGGGGATTATAGACCTATCAGCTTGGTGAACTCTGTCTATAAAATTTTAGCAAAAGTGCTTTCAAGGAGGCTTAGGAGAGTGTTACCATCTGTGATTAATGAGGTTCAGTCTGCTTTTGTGAGTGGTAGGCAAATCTTAGATGGTGTGCTAATAGCAAATGAAGTTGTAGATGCATGGAAAAGATCAAAAAAGAGAGGCATAATTCTAAAATTGGATTTTGAAAAAGCTTATGACTCACTCAATTGGGAATTTTTGTGGTCGATGATGAATAATTTGGGATTTGGTGAGAAATGGTTAGTTTGGATGAGGAATTGAATTTCTACAGCCAGGGTTTCTGTGTTGGTTAATGGCTCACCTACAGAGGAATTCCAGCCACAGAAGGGGCTAAGGCAGGGTGACCCCCTTTCACCTCTTTTGTTTATAATTGCAGCGGAATCTCTCAACCTTTTATTAGCAAGGGCAGTAGAGAAGGGCTTGTTTAGAGGAGCCTTAGTTGGTGGTAATGGTTTGCGCATCTCTCATCTCCAGTTTGCAGATGACACTATAGTGTTTTGTGAAGGAGATCAGGAGGAGGTGCTCAACATTAAAAGGGTGTTGAGGTGCTTTGCAGTGATGTCTGGATTAAAAATAAATTACCATAAGAGTGCTGTATGCGGAGTGGGTTTCCAAGAAGATGAAATTGTGGGTTTAGCCCAAAGATTGAATTGTCTATCAAAGAAATTACCTTTTAACTTTTTAGGACTGCCTCTAGGGGCCAATCCTAAGAGGAAGAGCACTTGGAACCCCATACTGGATAAGGTGAGTAAGAGGTTGTCTTCTTGTAAGAGAAGGCTTCTGTCTTTTGCTGGGTGTTTGACATTAATAAAATCAGTCCTATCTAATTTTCCTATTTACTTTCTATCTATTTTAAAGATGCCTAAAGGGGTTGTTAAGGCTCTAGTTAAAATCCAATCCAATTTCTAGTGGGGTGGATCTAAGGCTGGGAGGAGTGTTCACTTGGTTAATTGGGGTGAGGTTACTAAGAATAAAAATCAAGGGGGTTTGGGTGTGAGAGATTTGGGTGAGGTGAATGATTGTATGTTGTTAAAATGGTGGTGGAGATTTGGTGCAAAGGATAAAGCTTTGTGGAAATCAGTAGTATGCTCTAGGTATGTTCGTTTCGGAGGGGGTTGGGTACCAACTTTGCACAACACTGATGGGGCGTCGGCAGTGTGGAAGGATATAGTGCAGCTCAATTCACTTAACCAGTCTTTGGGTGTGTTTTATAACCAGAATTTAAGGCTATCAGTGGGAAATGGAAGGAGGATTCAGTTTTGGACAGATGCTTGGCTTAATGGTAGAGGTTTGAATGAGGAGTTTCCCAGATTATTCAGTCCATCCACTGAGAAGGAAGAATCCTTACAGCAAATTAGTGCCAAGAAGAGCCTTGGGGTGTGGCAGCTCCAATTCAGAAGAAGGCTGCTGGCATGGGAGGAAAAGGAGCTGCAGAGGTTGTATGTCGTTCTGGAATCAGCGCCTGAGCTTAGAGTGGAAGCTGAAGACTCTTGTTCTTGGCTTACATCAAAGTCTGGTAAGTTCTCTGTATCATCAGTGTGGAGTTGGTGGGTTGTAAATAAAGGTCCTGGATTGAGGGTGCCAGCTGGGGTCTGGGCAAGTCTGGCTCCTCCAAAGATGCAGTTTCTCTGCTGGCTTGCTTGGAGAGGACGAGTTAAGACATCTTCCTTCCTCCAACGGATTGGGATTCTACCTCCCAATGCACAGATCCAGTGTGTGTTTTGTCAATCTGCGGAGGAGTCTTTGGAGCATGTGTTGCTGTTTGCCCTCTGGTTTGGAGGTGCTGGGCAGCCATGGCTAGCTGGTGGGATCAGAATTTGGTCATCCCTGGTTCTGTTGAGGGTCTGCTCCAATGGTGGTCTGGGGGTAATGCGAAGTCTTGGGTAGATGGAGCTTGGCAGGCAGTTCCAGCATTAGTGCTGTGGTCAATTTGGAAGTTAAGAAACGAATGTCTATTTAA